CCTTGCGCTGAATGGTGAGTTCTAGCAGGCAGTAGTCACTGTCGCCCCCTGGGTGTAAGTGTCCAATTATTTAGGATACTGCTTCCCTTGGTCTTACCTTTTGGTAGTTTCATGATTCACGCTTGAAGACTAATATTTTGGCGAACCCAAAGCTAAGTTCTTAAACTTGTAAATCTCTTAGATGCTGTTTTATCATGACTTCAGCGATGACTTTGTTAAGCCTTCTGTAATCCACACTTGATTGCCATCTTCTGTTGTGGCTTCCCTCAGTGTATTAACCCATGGTGCTGCCAACTATCAGAAAACCCTCTGCAGCAGGGAGTCCAAAAAATAAGAGATTTTGCTAATTGCCAAATATACTAGGTCTCCTCTGCCTGATACCTTTGTACAAAACAAATCCACTAATGTGTTCTCATGTGCTGGTTTCAAATCCCAGCAGCATTCTTTTGATAGCTATAAAGTTTACAATATAATATATATTTACAAGTCTTAGCATGGTAGGAGACTGGTGAGTTTGGACTTCAAGGAATCTTGCATGAAGAACAGCAGCAAACTGTAAATGATTTGTAAGCTGAAGTCTGCTTTCTTTTTGCTAGTGTATTTAGCGTATTGAATAGGACTATCAATTAACTGGCGTTAATTTGCATGATTAACATAAGAGCCAATTAATGTGTTAAATTTTTTAACGCATTGATTGCACACATGGTTTTGGAGTGCATGCCTGGGCTCCTCTTCATTGCAGTCATCGCCAGCTCTGGACCACAGCTTCAGCATGTATGTGGCCAGGAATGCAGCCCTGCTGTCTGTGGAGGGGGAAGGGGTGTGTGGGGCAGATCGAAGCCTCCAGGGTGAGGGAGGGTGTGGAGCAGGGGTCACGAGACCCAGGGGCCAGGGTCAGTCATGGGATCGGACCTCAGGAGGCTTGTCTGGGGGGGGAAGGGCGACAGCTCCTCTCCTCTGTGCACATCCCCAGGGAAGGCATATGCCCCCTGCCTTGCACAAAAGGGCATGTCCCTTTTGTGCAAGGCAGAGGCAGGCTGGGGCTTTGCACTCTGTTACCTTTGCTCTGGGATCTGTGCAACATCATGTTTTGCCTCCTTTCACCAGGTGGGCAGGGGACGTGCAGCTGGCATGCGTCTCCCAGGGCAAAGGCAGTGGAGCACAGAGCCCTAGCCCACAGTGGGCAGCCTGCCTCTGCCCTGCACACAAATTCGTGGCTTCGTCCCACTTCCTGCCCCAGCCCTGGGCTCCCATTCACCCTAGCCCCTACACCACTCCCTCCCTCACCATGGGGGGCTTCAATCTATCCCCCACTTCCCTCTTCTCTCCCCCCAACTACTCACACATTTACCTGCTGGGTGCTGTTCTACATTCTTGTAGGGTTACTATATTTCCAGTTACAAAAAAGGACGTGGGGGGGGGCAGTGATATATTCCAGTGTCCTTCCCCTTCCCCTATCCCTCAGTCCCAAAGCACAGGCCCCGCCCCCTGCTGCTGCTCCTCATTCCTGACCCATGATACCCCGCATCCTGCCAGGGCATGCAGGGGGTCCCCCTGCTTCGGGCTCCAAACCCCACAGCCACTGCCCAACCATACAAAGTACCTGCATAATTTTGAGTTTTTAGCTGTATAATTAAAACTGTTAATTGCAACCAATTGTTTTAATTGCACAGCTAATTGCCATTATTTTTTAAATCATTTGACAGCCCTAGTATTGAAATTGAGTACCTATTTACTTACTTTGCTTTTAAATGTAATATTAAGAAGTCATTTAAGCTTACTTTATGTATTGCCTGACACAGCTTTTCAATAATTCAGATAACCATCATGGGCAGACTAAATGAATGTGTAATAAGTGCAAGTTATTAGAGCATTATTGACTTTTTCAGTTAAACAGTTGCTGTTATGTTGCCAAAATTAGGACTTCAGGAAATGAGAGGGAAGAGAAATTAGGAAACTGCTAATGTCTCAATGCTGTAGTAAGTCTTTTTAGATGGGGAGGCAACTTACATCTCTTGCTCTTGAACTCCTAGTAGAATGGGGATAGAAAGAGAAAGCGTGGTCAGCTTGTTGGTATGAGAGAAGAAGAATGTATGTCAGCGGTGTTAATTTTCATTTTGAAGTGCAGGTGCTGTGTTGTTACTGAAATTAATAACTAACTTTATTTTTTTAAAGTATTTTTCTTGGTTTGTTTTATTAGGCAGACTTATCTCTGTATAACGAATTCAGATCATGGAAGGATGAACCAACTATGGACAGGACATGTCCTTTTTTAGACAAAATCTATCGGGAAGATATCTTTCCATGTCTAACCTTCTCAAAAAGTGAGGTAATGTATTTATTCAATGAAAATGTTGTCATTGGCATTATGCATTTTTATGGAAGAGATTTATTGTGAAACCATTTCCACAACTTTTTCTCAGTACTTGGCTCACTAAAATGCAACTTACATGTAAAGTTGCAATAAAAACCTTATCTGTTTACCTTATTTAATTGTGGGTTGGAGAAATCACTATTGAAGATGAAGTGGCGAGATGTTTATAGACTCTTCTTTAGCTTTTCCTTTGAAGCTAATGTCAGTGTGCAGTTAATTGCTATACCAACCATGACCCTTTTAAAGTGAGAGAGAGGTTTTGGCTTCCCCTCAATTAGTTCTGTTCTTCAAATTTTAGTGCTGTCAGGAAGCTGGCATTGAAGGAAGTAGCAACTGTTCTCTTTACCTTACAAAGTGTCTTTTAGGAAGGACTTGGTTATTCTAGTATCTCTTGCCTACCCTTTTATATTTGTGACTATAGAGGCCCCAACAGCCTTGCCTCAGGAGGGTCTTTTTCTTCTCTCTATCTCAAATCAGTCAGGGAAGCAGGTGTAAACAGACAGGTCTGGATCTACCAGACTGAGAATAAGGACACAGTTCTTTCTAGTTGTGCCACTCAGGCTGCAGACAGGAAGAGGCATGGTAGTAGCATGCCATGCTCTAGATGCTGTCAGCAGGATGATTGCTTACACACTTGTTTTGAGTAAGCCTGGGCATGTTTTAACCTATAGTGGACAAAGACCAGAATTGACCCTCGCCTCAGCCCCTTTGTGCTTGTCCCTCTGTCAGTTGTATATAGCATTTACTAAGTGTATTTGAAGATTCAGCCTCAGTTCTTAGATATTCTTAAAATAACGGGGGAGGGCAGACCAATTTCTTTACGCTCATGGCTTCATTTTTTTTAATAAACATTATGACACCTCTCCTGGTCCAGTGATGTATTTTCCTCCTTTGTTTTAGTGTTCTGCTTTTCTGTAATCTGTGTATCCTATTTCAAGTGGTCATTACAGAACAGAGTCCTTTAGTTATTTTTATATTGGTTTATTATGTTCCTTGTAGAACAACATATTCAACAGCTTTTCAGCACAATATTTTATATTGCTACAGTAGTTCCTATTTGTTTCTCTGATTTACTTAACCTAGGTCATCCTGTTTTTTCCCTGGCCATCTCATTTTCTTATAATTTCCACTTCACTCATGATATTTACTACTGCAGGTTAATATATTACTGGAAAAGGGCAGAATGGAGCATCTATCTTTTCTCTGTGCATAAATTATGCAGTTTCTAGGACCTATGCATGGAGTAACCAACTTTTTATTTTCCTTTAAATATAAACATACACACTGAGTTAGTGTAAACTAAATAGAAACTAAGCTTCATTTGTGTTATGTATGTGCTTAAATATTCTACCAAATATTCTCAAATATAAGATTACTCTGAACAGAAGACGGCCCTCCCAATAAACAAATTTGTAAATTTTCCATACGATTTTTCAGGTATAGCATCTAATCACTAGAGGTTTGCCTTGAATTTGTCCCCTTCCCACTACTGCAGCAGGGAAAATAAATCTGGGGGGTCAGGTAGCTCCCTTAACCCACAACTTCCCCCCTCCCCCCTCACTGTCAGACCGTGTTGTCCCTGATCATGTAGAAGCGAGGGGCAAATTTGAGAATGCTAACTTTGAAGTAAACATACTTGTAATCATCTGCACATAGGCAAATTACAATAGATTCACAGACACTAGGGCTGGAAGGGTCCTCGGAAGATCACTGAGTCCAGCCCCTGCCCCGGGGGCAGGAAGTCAGCAGGAATCATAAGATCCCAACAAGATAAACATCCAAATGTCTCTAAGTACCCATGGACTTAGTTCAGTGGTTTTCAACTCATGGACTCCTTGGGTTGAACCCAGCAGTGCTGCAGCCCCTCCACTCTCCCAGTGATATCAATTTACAAATGGAGTGAGTGTGGATGGGGATGTGTGGGTGTGTGTGTGACAGAGACAGAAAACGTTCACCATACACATGATAGATTCCCAAAGGGGAATGCAACTACATTCAAAATGTTGTAGGCATCTGCAAATGAAAAAAGGTTGAAAACCACCAATTTTTATGCGGAATTGGTGCATTTTCCCTTTTTTGAAACTGCTGCAAATTTTAGCAGAGGTACTTCATATGCATGATATTAGTCCAGAGCCAAAAGAATCATGATTTACCATATATAGTTAATTCACTGGGCCCCAGCAGAATCAACAGTGTTTCAAGTCTTGGTGATCCTACAGCTCAGCACTGTCCATTATGTATATGTATTCTAGAAAAAACCGTCCCTACCTACCCTCCCTGCGGATCCCAATGTTAATTAGCGTCCTCACTCATGACTAGAACGAGGTATTCTTGTCATGAGTCTTGGTATCCTCTAAAAATGATATGCAAATGAAATCACAGGGCAAAATGGTCCCACTCCTCCTCATGGAGGGTGGAGCCATGCTAATACTATATGACAGGCTGATAGAGGGAGTGACAGAGAGATTCTAGGTGAACTGTTTGAGGTCCTGTTTGGTGATGTTTACCAGACATTTAAGGCTGGTGAAGAAATGGGGAAGAAAGGCACGGCACAGCTCAGCTATGGGAATGAAAAGGAAGTTGAAATTGTATTCGGCATAGTGGCTCACCATGACTTGAGAGAGTTGGTGCTGAGGGGAAATGGTGTACAATGGTGTACAGAGAAGGGGATGATGTACAATATATCTTACTCAGATGGGTTGCACTAAGCTGTCCTGTAGGTCCTGTCATCACTGAAAGCTTGATCAATGCCTGAAAGGCAGAGGAAGGGATTGACAGAACATTGGGGTATAATGAGTGGAGGAAAAGAGACCCAATACTCAAAATGGTGGTAGTGGAGGTAAGTAGCTGTGGAAGAACTCAAACTTCACGTTGTGGTTGAATCAGAACCGACAGAGCCAACTTTTCTTTATTTAGGGCTATACTGTGATCACAGGGAGAATTCCACACAGCAAGGGGAATCACCCACTTGTCTATTTCAAAGGATTTCTCGTGCTCTCTAAGTTTACAAGCGTATTTATACTTAAGACAGAGAGAGAGAAAAAAAATGCGACCTTGGAGAAACAAAACAATAGTAAATTACACAGACATTTAGGAAGTTTACTTAAACAAACTATCTGTGCACAGGGCAATATATCAAGGCAGACCATGGCATGCAAGATTTCTTATCTCAGAACATTTAACTGAAATAAGCAGTATCATCCTTCTGGTCTCTGTCTGTTTTTCTAGTCAAATAGGTCAGAAGCCCAATTAAATTACTCATACATAGTGATAACATGGAAAAAGAGTTGAAGAATGGAAGTGAAGGTCTGGAGATGGGTAGAGAATTGGCAAAGTGGGGAAGTGAGTATGGAAGAAGGTGATGGCAGGAGCAGCAGTCGAGGCAACAATGGGAGCAGCAGTGGCAAAGAAGGTGATGGAAGTGCCAGTGCCATACAGAAGATGAGAGCAGAGGAGAGGGGATGATGGAGTGGGAGCAGCAGGAGAAAGTATGTCAGACGAGAGATGAAGGACAGCAGGAACATGATGGAATGCCAGCCCACTGGGAGTGGCATAGTGAGATGACGTGGAAAACGCAATGAACGATGGCAGGGAGGATTGGAGACTGCAGATAAAGGCAGTATTAGTGACAGAATGGAGATGGGATCGGCATGAAACAGATATGACTTTTTGGAGAAGATGCTGTTTGAGATGCTGGAGGTACAGCCAGAGCACCTGACCAGCTTAATTGCTTTTTGAAACCGAAAGTCTTGGCAAATCCCTTACTGGAATGGAGATGTGTATGGAAAATTTTTGGAAGAAATATGCAGAGGAATGTAAGAAGGAGGATTTAAGAGGGATACAATTTATGGCAGGAGAAAAGACAAGGAAACAAGTGATTATAGTACAAATGTATATGGATTTATTAGTGGAAGAAGACACAGAAAGATGGCTGGAACTTCATGTTCAAAGAGTGTAATGAGTGTGGAAAAAGTGAGGGACAAATATGGTATTTGGATGGGGTTATGGAGAGCACAAGTAGTGTTATAGACAAACAAATGGAGCCGCAGGTGGGATGAAGCACCTCCTAGCTGTATGCCAGCTGGGGGTACATCTGCATTTTTATGATATATCCCAAACAATGGGCAAGCAGCAAGGAAGGGCACCTGTCTGCCTACTGCCCTCACATACTGTGCTTCAGATGTGTAGGGAAGGGGGAACAGAGCAGCTGGGTGCCAGGAGTCCCTAAAATGCATTACTTGTTGGAGGGGGGCAGGGTGGGGGAGGCAGGGCAGTTGTTCTAAAGAAGTCCAGTGGCCTTTGGAAACAAAGGTAGCCTCCCCAAGGAGCAGCTGGAATCAGAAGTGGACAGTGAGAAAGAGGTGGCTGAGGCAGAGAGAGAAATGGTGGAAGAGACCCTGCAGGAGAGAGAAGTGGAGAAGGGAGTAGCAGAATTTCTGTAATTGAGGCAACACAGGAGGAAATAGGAGACAAAAGGGGAGGCGGGAACAGTGAACAGCTCGGATATGGAGGTGGGGGAAGGGAAGAAGGAAGAAACTCCACATGCACCAGAAGTGTTGATGGAACAAGGAAAAGAGCCAGACAGACTGGCAGGGAAAAGGAAGAAGACATGGGCTGTAAACAAGGAAAAAGAAACTTGATAGGGAGGGTGAGAGTTGGAGAGCAGCTTTCTGCTGCTAACGCCCCTCAGCTCCAGCTCCGAGTGAAGAGGCAGTGGTGGGAAGTGGAAGCTTTCCTTAATGCAAAAGCAATTGGGCAGCTTGCAAAGGCACCCAGAATGCAGTGAATGTTGGGGGAGGGAAGAATCTACCATGGCCGGCAGCAGTACCAAGGAGCCTTAAAAAAACAGGCATACTCTTTTTACAAGCAGCAAAATGGCACTGTTAATAGTGTCAATATTGGGAGTGTTTTAACAGAAAACAGATGGAAACAGATTGAACAAGTGTTGAAACAAGTAAGGGCAGACATAATCTGCCTACAAGAATGTAGTATACTGGGAGAGAGGGATTATAAACACTTGGAGAAAAGATGGAGGTGGGGACCGTTTTGGTGGTCAGGGACAAATGAGAACAAAGTGGCAGGTGTAGCAATACTTTTTAAGAGTTCAGAGTAAAACAGGTGGAAGACATAATTAGTCAAAGACTACAGTGAATGATGCTATCAGCCAGGGGAACAGAATTAAAAATCTTCAATGTATATATGCACTACCAGAGTGGAAGGGGAGGAAGGCTCTGCTTAGGAAGCTAGCAGTTTGTGGTTGGAGAGAGATTGCAGATAATAGTGGTGGACTTCAGTTGTATAATAGAAGCAGGTGACAAAACAGGGGAAATAGGAGGTGGAACTTGAGACAGTTCATCCAGACAGTTAACAAATAAAATAAAAGAAGAGTCACTAAGAGATCTGAGGGGAAGTGAAAACATTTTCACTAGAACTGACTCCAGTGGAAAGAAAAAATCAAGAACGGACTTTGTGTTTGTATCAAAAGAAATAGAGTTAAGGAAGAAAGAAGCTGTAAGTATGGTATTTTGTGACCACCTGATGCTGAAGGCAGAACTGAGTCTTGGTAAGAGCCATGCAAGAGAAAGGGGAGTGTTAGTTAAATGTGCAACTATTACAAGATGAGATGTGCCAAGTGTACACAAGGTGGTACGAGAGGTGGACAACACTGGAGAAATATTTTAAGAGTATCAGGAAATGGTGGATGATGGTGAAGAAGACAGGAGAATTCTTCAGGAAGGATGACCAAATAACCATGGGGAAAAGTACAAAAGAGATGAGAGAGGTGCAAAGAAAGATACAGGAGCTGCTAAAGGAAGCTGCAGAAGGAAGAAAGATACAAGAAGAACTAGAAGAAACAAGCAGAGAGATAGCTGGTTTAAAAGAAAGATGAGAGAGAGAATGTTTTTAGCATAAGCACCATAGGTGGGAGAACACAAAGAACGTTCCCAATACTTTTCAGCTAGAATTAAGTCAGTGAAAAGAGAGCTAAAAGCAGTGAGGGAAGATGTTGGTACACAGGTGGAAAAGCAGGGGAGGTGTTGGAGGCAATGAGAACACTTAATGAAGAGCTATATCAGTAGAAGGAAATAGACAGGAAGAAGATGAAGGATTTGCTGGAAGAGATTGAAGGGAAAGCAGAGGAGGTGGAGGAGTATTTCAAAATCTTTAAAAGAGGGAGATCACCAGGAGTAGATGGACTACCTAAGGAATTTTACAAAAAGTTTTGGGCATGGAAAGGGGAAAGGTATTACGGCATAGGAAAAGGTGACAGCAAGGCTACAGCAAATACTTTAGTTATGGTCTGGAAGGACACTGCCCTTTGCTGGAAAAGTGGTGGCAGTTAAAGCTGTGCTGCTGCCAAGTAGTCTATGTACAGGAATTGTATTCCCACCAAAGTGGCAGCAGATAGTAAAAGTACAGAGGGAAATATGTGTGTTCTTCTGGAACGCCAAAAGAGAAAGGTTGGCTAGATTTGAACTGTACACAGTAAGAGGGATGGGGGCTGCTGGACTTGGGATTGTTTGTCTGTGCAAATTATGTAAGCACGGTATGCAAGATGATAACAGAGTGGAAAGCAGTGTGTATCACCGAATTTCACATAGCTGCAATTTTGAGGAAATGGAGAATATATCAGGCCTCTTTTAAAGAGTCCATGGGCATGGCAACCACTTATTCATTGCATCAGATGGAAGGTTTCATATAGAGGTATAAAATAGGGAAGGTAGTGGTGGAGGTCCTGAGGGATCATAAGAAATTGATGAAAGTGGTAAGGGAGAAAGACAGGCTGGTGCTGGTAGGAAACTTCACAGAAGGACAAGTTAAGAAGGTGTGGGGAGTGGTGGTGGGTAAACAACTAAAACAGACCCATGCTGACCTAGTGTGGATGCTTGTAAGAAATATCTTGACACTGAGAGAGGTGCAACACAGATGTGGCTTGACGAGCACATCAGCATGCCCAAGGGAGAGGTGCAGGGAAGAAGAAATGATGGGACGTGTTGTGGGAGTGTATATATGGGGGTGTGGGAAAGGGTCCACTGCTTTCTGATTGTCACCAAAATAAACCTGTTCTTATTGCGGAATCTGGTACAATGTGGACTTATACCAAAGGAACTGGAGGAAGCGTTAGTAAGGACTTAAAAAATTATTAAGAACTTTATTAGCATGTTTTAAAACTAGTTTATGCAAATTAAGAAACCTCAGGGTTTTAAGGAGTTCGCTTTCACTGAAAGAGTGCCTCAAGCTGGGACTGCATGAAATACTACATTGATCAGGACAAGGAAGAGATTGGAGAAGAAGCAGCAAAGAAATAGAGGAAAAGGACTGGACACACTTGTTTCACTTAACCAACAGAAGAAGGGGCAGAGAGTTTCAGGTGGTTAGTGAGGTAATCGTTTTTCATGGGGGTCTGTATAAAGAAAATGAGTTCTGTAAGCGTTTGGGTTTTTTTTTTTTTTGTGGGAAATTGATGTATGTTGTTTGAGGGTTTAATATCTCTGTCTTGAGCTGTAGATATCTATAGAGATGTAGATAGAGTATGTTTTTGATATGTAATGTTTGTGGTATGAAGTCTTGGTAAAACAAGGATGAGCAATATGTGTAGGTGTGTAAATGTAGGGTTATAAGTGTGATTTTTTTTTTTAAATAAAATTTTGTTAAAACAAAAATTCCCATCCATATGTTTGCCTGATATGGGCCATGTTTTGTAGTCATGCTCAGTGTTGGCTACATTTAATCAACTTCATAGTTGGCTTCCATTACTGAGCACATTCTGCTTTTGGCAGCAGTTTAATGGTGAGACATTTATAGACAATGCTGATTGGAGGAAAAAACTTTGTCTTGTACTGGAGTAAATATGGTAATTTGAATAGTTGCTGCATTATATACATGATTTTATATGATACTTTGTATGTGCCCTTTTTGTTTTTGGAGAAAGGCAGACAAAGGTATTCTGTTTTGAGCTACCTCTGTAAAATCACTGCTCTTTTAAATATATTTTCAGTCAAAGCTTGTGAAGAGTATTTCTGCTAATAACGGATGCTTAGAAAGAGAACACACTAGACCAGTGAGGGCCAGCGTTTTTGACATATATGCCCCAAATCAGCCCTGCACCCTCCTCGGGTGTTATACCAAACCTTTTCCCTTACCTGATCTGCTGCTCAGCCTTGTGCTCCCTGCCTAATCTGATGCTATGGTTTCTGCTTCATGCCCAATCTGCCACTATGCTGCCTGTTCCTCTCCAGTTTACCACAGGCCACACACAGAGGCTGCCAATGCCACTTGTGGCACCTATGGCACAAGTTGGCTGCCCCTGCACTACTAGACCATGTTGTTTGTTCTTTTAAGTGCATTTTTTTTGCGACTTGGAGGGCAGGGTTGTTTGGGCAGGAGGCTGAGAACCAGATCTTTTGGTTTTACTGTCTTTGGCATATAGGGTAAATTCCTTAACCCTCCTACAGTTTTCTAGTTACCGATCTGAGAATCTGAATGTTGTGTAATGTTTATAACTTAGTTCTGTTTAAGTAGCATTTGTATAGCTATAAACCCTTCTTCCCTGAAGCTAGCAAATAATGCCAAACCACTTCTAACTGAGTTTCATTTTGTTTTCTTTTTCCCTTTGCAGCTAGCTTCAGCTGTTCTGGAGGCTGTGGAAAATAACACCCTGAGCATTGAACCACTTGGCTTGCAACCTGTTCGATTTGTGAAAGCTTCTGCAGTTGAATGTGGGGGACCAAAGTAGGTTGAGTTAAGAGATGTTTGTCTTCTGTTTTAGAAAGTGGATGATTCTTGGTTAAATTTATCAGCATATAACATTATCATGACGTGGATAAAATGCATGTCTTAGGGCATTTATACACATACATTTGTCGTCTTTGACACAGGAGATCCAGCACATTGAAACAGACTCAGTTAATCGAGTTTGCTCCGCACGTGAGCTGATGCACCTGGTGCTGCATTGCATGTATTTGTATAAATGGTGAAATGCGCATCACCACTGAGAAAATGGTGGTGGTGTGCTTTTGAACTAAAACACCTTCAATGTGTGTTAGCTTAAAATCATGTCATCATCATTTTCTCAGTGCTGATGCGCATTTCACCATTTATACAAATATATGTATACACGGATCAAAGGGGGCAAGAGGGCGCAAAGGCCCCCACGGCTCACCAAAAGCATCCGGAAACGTCTCCAAGCTAAAAAGGAGGCGTACACCCATTAGAAGGGAGGGGCCATCACCAGAGAGGGACCATACCTCTTGCTCAGGACTGTAGGGGGGCAGTCAGGAAGGCCAAGGCAGAGATGGAACTGGGACTAGCTACCTGGATCAAGGACAACAAGAAGTCCTTTTTTTAAATACGTAGAGGGTAAAAAGAAGGTACCGGGTAACGTGGGGCCTCTGCAGGACTCGCTAGGAAATCTGGTTGTTGCACCAGACAGCAAAGCTAACCTATTTAACAATTTCTTTGCCTCCATTTTTCTGAGTAGGGACCTGGTCATCCACCCACTGGGACCCCCATAGGCCCCGTGGGAGGCACACCCGGGCCTAGGGTCAGCAAGGACCTAGTCAAGGAACTTCTGGAGAGACTGGATGTATTTAGATCAGCAGGTCCAGATGATCTCCACCCCAGAGTGCTGAGGGAACTAGCAGAGGTTTTTGTGGGACCTCTGGCACAGCTTTACGAGCACTCATGGTGCTCTGGCAATGTGCCAATGTGGTTCCTATTTTCAAAAAAGGGAGGAAGGAGGACCCAGGAAAATATAGGCCTGTTAGTCTTACCTTGGTCCTGGGGTAGCTTTTTGAGAGAATTATCCTGGCGCATGTCCACGAGGGGCCAGCAGGGGAGACTATGCTTAGGGGCAACCAACATGGGTTCATTAGAGGCAGGTCCTGTCAGACCAACCTGGTGGCCTTCTATGACCAGGTCACCAAATCCCTGGATGCAGGTGTCACGCTGGATATAGTTTCTGGATTTTAGGAAGGTCTTTGATACTGTCTCTCACCCCATTCTCATTAAAAAAACCAGGAGACTGTGGCGTTGATACCTACACAGTCAGATGGGTCACTAACTGGCTGGAGGGCCTCACCCACAGAGTGGTGGTGGACAGGTCTTATTCGACCTGGAGGGATGTGGGCAGTGGGGTTCCGCAGGGCTTGGTCCTTGGGCCCGCACTGTTCAACATCTTCATCAGTGACTTGGACAAAGGGGTAAAATGCACCTTGTTCAAATTTGCAGATGACACTAAGATGTGGGGAGAAGTGGGCACGCTAGAAGGAAGGAAAAGGCTGCAGTCGGATCTGGACAGGCTACAGGGGTGGGTGGAAGAGAACAGGATGGGTTTCAACACTGACAAGTGCAGGGTATTGCACCTGGGAAGGAAGAACCAGCAGCATACCTACACATTGTGGAACTCCCTTCTTGTCAGTGCAGAGGCGGAGAAGGATCTTGGAGTCATTATTGAGGCCAATATGAACATGGGCCGACTGTGGGAATGCGGTCAGGAAGGCCAACCATATGTTGTCATGCATCCACGGATGCATCTCAGGCAGGTTCAAGGAGGTGATCCTCCCCCTGTATGTGACACTGGTCAGGCTGCAGCTGGAGTACTGCGTCCAGTTCTTGGCGCTGCATTTCAGGAGGGACAGCATGGAGAGGGTCCAGAGGAGGGCCACTCGCATGATCAGGGGGCAGCAGGGCAGGCCCTAGGAGGAGAGGGTAAGGGACCTGAACCTGTTCAGCCTCCACAAGAGAAGGCTGGGGGGGACCTAGTGGCTGTTTACAAACTAGTCAGAGGGGACCAGCAGGCAATGGGAGATTCCCTGTTCCCCCTGAGCAGTACCAGGTGTGACAAGAAATAATGGTCACAAGCTGGCAGAGGGTAGATTCAGACTAGACATCAGGAGGCACTACTTCACAGTCAGGGCAGCTAGGATCTGGAACCAACTTCCAAGGGAAGTGGTGCTGGCTCCTACCCTGGGGGGGTTTAAAAGGAGGCTGGATGAACACCTGCCTGGGGTCATTTGATCCCAGTACTCTTTCGTGCCATGGCAGGGGATTCGACTTGATGATCTGCTCAGGTCCCTTCCAACCCTACCAACTATGAAACTGCCTCAGCGCTGGATGCTTTTAAAAGCACTTGACGCTGTGGCACAAATGTGTACAAATGCCCTTAAACTTTTAAATATTAGGCATATTAGGATTCTGTCACCTGAGCTTTGGTAAGGAGAAGATAAATGAGTGCCAAATATGATACTTACAAAATGGTCTAACACTTCTGAGAGAGCCCACAAGAGAAATGAGGTAATCTTTTGGAGTGAAAAGATGGATCCATTTATGACAAGTGATTATAAATAATAACATCATTAAAATAACGTAGTTATTTTAATGCAAAGCTTCATTTTTTTTTTATTTTACATACTAAAGCAAACAAACTACTTAAAATAATCCTTATAAAGTCTCTGTCCTGCAAGGTATTTGATCAAACCCAGGTAAGTATATTATGTGGGATGAATTGATTGCAGGAATGGGAGGCTGTGGACACCTTGTATGGGGAGATTTTCCAGAAAGCTTCATTGGAAGGAGTATGTATAAAGGAGGACAGGATATGTGCATAATGCTTAGAGGTCTGAAGCATCGAATGCAGTCTGAAAATAAACATAAAGTTATGGGAGACCAACAAAAAAAAGCAGGTCAATGAGTTGGGAAGAAACACATACAGAGCAAATGCTTGGAAGACTGGCAGTGATTTTAGGGAGGAATTGACATGAGGATGAATTTAAAGCTGACACAAGAAGAGATAGTCAGGGGAGAATGGTATGCAATTTGAATGGCAGAAGAGGAAGATTATTTTAGCAGCTGCTTTCTGGGTAGAATTGCCAGGATTAGGAGTAAACAAAGAAATGTAGGGGAATCTGGAGAGCTGAGTTTGCAGTAATTGGGGTGACAAATGCTTAAGTCACTGGGGGCTGTTGGCAGTAGAAGTGCAGAGGAAAGGAAGGTACTGAGCTGATCTATAGACAGCTGACCTGCCAAAAAAGTCAAGTTTCAACACGTTCCCATAGAAAGTTTTGTCAAAATTGATATGTTCTCTCAGTATTTTGATTGTTGACAGAGCTGCATTAGTTAATGAAACTTTTACAACCATCTCTACTTAACTTTGTATTTTTTAAATACAAATGTTCTGCCTTTCCCAAATTTAATGTAGGACTTCTGCATTTTGTTTCAGTGAGGTGTATTTTTTTTAAAGTAAGGGAAATGAATATATTCTGTTTGATTCTTAATCTTTTCCTTCGAGAAAGCTGTTTAAACTGATGGGCGAAGTTTTACAAACTAATCGTTTAGAACCCTGCAGAATCCCCAGGATCCACTAAGGTTTTTGTATGTTCTTTAACTTCAGCAGATTTGTACTTGAGAGAAGTATCCTGTCCACCAAAACTAGACTTGCAAGAAAGTTAGTATATCATAGGGTTCCACCAGCCAGGTTAAATGGCCATTGCTGATATTCCAGTGCCAAGTAGTGTGGGATACATGATGCTATAGTTCTCTTAGTTGCTTGTGGGGATAATTACTTGAATCCTGTGGGGAAGCCAAGCTGCCTCCTATTTGCAGATGGCATCCTACAACTTCTACTCAACAGCATTTGTATGCCAAGAATTTCCACACATCTGTTTTAAGTCCCTGCCCTCCTTCCCTGTTACGGCAAATGCACCTACACTGTTTTATCTTCCTGCCTCCCATCCTGTAGGTATACAACAAAATGTGTAATGCTGTTAAGATTTTTATTTCAACTGTAATTATATTTCATTTCTGTATAATTTACACAATGTTTTTACCTTATGAAAAGAAGGTTTTGGAATTTTCCTTCTATGGTAAATTTCAGAATTTCAACTTTTTGTTCTGATTCAGAATGCAAACAAGTAGGAAATTCCATTTTCTGCTCAGCTCTGTCTTTTAGTAATAACAGTCAAGCCATAGAGCACCACAAAGCAATGCAAGTTTAAACACTTAATTCCATCTAATCCACAGGTGATACCTGAGGTGAAAGGTCTGATCCATAAATTAATACAGGGAAGGGAAATATGGATTTTTTTTTTTCTTTTTAAGTGGTACTTGATATTCAGTTGGCATGTATGTGGCTCTTCTGGAGAATTAATACCCTATCTATTGTATTCAGTCAGACAGGTACCTGAATATTCTGACCGCTATTTTCAGTGTATTGTCTTATTTACATTTTGCCTTAGATGTGAAATGGTAAAGTTAAAATTAAAGAACATCAGAAAGCATTTTAAATGACATGGATGACTATCCAGTTTAGGTGCTATAATTCACTGAATGTATTATATATTGTAGTCTTGACTCTGATGTTTTGATAGCTTTTAAATCAATTAGTGAACTGCTTTTCATTTGCCCTGCAACTTGATTCATTAGCCCTTGGTGGTAGTGGTGTAACATCCTCTGTTTCCATCCAAGGGATACATGTCATCACGGTATACTTTTGGTTCTGAAGCATTTTTAGCTATTTAACTTATTTTTAGTGATAAAAATGTAGTTGTTTATACCAGAAGAAATAGAAGAAAATGTACTGCTGTTGAAGTTGTATCTTTCTCTCCTCAAACTTTGTCAAAATTGAGGTCACCTTGGTTATTTCATATTTGAAAAGTGTGTGGTTTTTAGCTTCCGTAACTTTGAGGAATGTGGGACTTTAGAGAAAAGAACAAAAAAACTTCTGAGGTCCACTTGGCATGTTGTCAGAACCTAATTTTGTCAGACAGATACCTAATTACTGTAAGGTGGTTACTTTAGAAGATCCTCCAACATTGTTTTAGTTGCTATGTGGTTTTATTTTAGAAGCAGTTTTCCCGCAAGAGGAAGCAGAGTCCTCTAGTTCTCATAAGCTTTAGACGCTGCTTCTCTTACTGAGGAATGTAGTGGACAACAGTTTTAGAATCTTTTAAACTAGCTACCAGGGGTCAGTATGGTTCTTTTCCAAAAATGAGTCCATTATGTCTGCAGTCCTCTCATACTCTCTCAAAAAAGAGATGGGGAAATTGGACTAAGGGTGTCAGGCTATCATTTCAGTTCCTCTGTCAAGGATTCTTTATAATACTGTGAATGCAAAGTACAATATAAACTGAAACATAAAAGCAATTTTGAACTTTATAAAATGCATCCTGCACAGGTTTCAGACAAATGAGCAGTATAACAATGTAAACTGAAGGCAGGATAGAGATGCGCTTTATGGACTAACTAACTAAATAAGCTCTTGTAACCTCAGGCTCACTTAATGAGATGCTGTGAAAGGACATGCACAAAACAGCCTATCAAAGAGAATATAAAAGAAAAGGATGGGGGTGGGGGCAGTGCTAGGACAAGCAAACAAGTTTTAAACCTATAGGGAGAAAGTGGTTGCCAAAACTAATCCAAGCTATCCGGTAAGAATCCATAGTCCCTGTTGAGACTGTGCTTAATCCAGTCTGGATGACTTCTCCCCATTTCATATTTAAGTCTGCTTTTAAAGTTCTGTTGCTTATGAACAGTTACTTTTAGGTCAGCAATGAAATGTCCAGGAGAGTTAGTGTTCTGCCACATGCTCTTGTGTGGTTTTGCAATGGTGGCAGATCAGTGTCCTCTCATTCTTTCATGTAGGGATTGCTCTGTCTGTCCAGTGTAGACAGCAGAATGGCACTAGAAGCAGGCAGTGGCATATATAATGTTGTAGAGGTGCAGGTGAAAGACCCTTGTATGTTGGTCTGCATTGAGGAGGTGGCATAGCTTGCATTTGATTCTGTTGCAAGGCCTGGTGCCTTGAGAATAGGAATTAGGTTGTCTGTTGCTTGAGACAAACTGTTTGAATTTGTGTGGATGCCTGTAGGCCAGGACAGATTTGACTCTTATGGGTATCTTGAGATGTTTGTTATTTTCCAGGAGGGGTAGGGAGGCTGTTAACGATGTGTCCAGGGTGTTTAAGCTGGGGGCTATAGGTGGCAGCAAAAGGGATTCTGTTGTTCTTCATCAATGCAAGCCTGACTTCAAATGAACACAACTAACTATTGAGACTGAATGTTACAACTAAATGCAACATATAACACAGTATGCTCAAACTACTTTTTAAATATTGATTGCTAGAATTTATAGCATGTTTGGCAGAGCAGGAACTTCAGTGGATGGATCCCTAGCTTCCTGTTTCAAGGTTAGTGTCAACCAACTTGAAACATTTTGAATATAAGGGCATGTGGTCAAGATTTGATTGACTACATATGCTAAAGCTGCTACTAGATAGGCCTGAAAAGAAGATTTAAAAATCAGTAAAATATAAGGGAGCACAATGCAAAAACAATACTCTGTGTAAAGTTAGAGTAGTTGACAACATAGCATAGTAATGGCAAACAACAAAGCAGTTCAGGGGGGAGTTAGTTGGCCATAGCAGAGCAATTTTGTTGCTTTAAGAAAAATAAAATCTATGTCTTAACTTGCAAGTAACTGAGCTTCAGCAATGCCATTTAAAATAAACAAATTTTGTATTTTACAGGAAATGTGCTCTCAGTGGACAAAGTAAGTCATGCAAACATAGAATCAAGTTAGGGGATTCAAGCAGCTATTACTACATTTCTCCTTTTTGCCGATACAGAGTAAGTAACTTTAACTTCATTTTGAGTTCATGTTGTATTCCATACAGATATGGAGATTAACCAAGTGGTATGTTTTTTACATTGTCTTAGATTACTTCTGTGTGCAACTTCTTTACCTACATTCGATACATCCAGCAAGGGCTTGTAAAGCAGCAGGACGGTGAGTGGAAATCTGAAGTGTGGTACACTTGTAGATAGCCAGTTAACTCTTTTTGTGTTTAAAAAAAATAAAAAGGTATCATAAGTATACATAGAAGGAGTGATTAAACCATTACAGGGAGACCATTTCCTGGCACTTCTATATTAGTCATTAGTAGAGTTGAGTGAACTTTTCTAGGAAATAGATTATTTACCAAAAATGCAATTTCAGTTGATCTGAAACTATTTATCCATTCCACTGATACTTGCTGAATAGTTTCAGCTTAAAATAATTTGTTTTGTCTCAAGCTACACAATGGGAGTGGAAGAGGAGGTGACAGTGGTGGTGATATAGTGGGTCCCTCTCCTTTTTAGAGCTCAGATGTTAGGGCTGTTGCCCATAATGTAGAAGCTCAGGTTCATTTTCCTGCTGGACCTGAGGGAGTTTGAGTGCATGTCTCACCTATCATGGAAGTTCTGTACATTCAGTTGCTCCACTTAAAATACTGTAATAATCATTGCAGAAGTGATTAATATTCAAGTGAGTGTACTAACTACCAGATGAGTATATTAACCGCCAGGCTGTAAAGTTATTTTGCTCTCCTTGGATCTGTGAAATGTAAGCTTGTTTTTGGGGTTTTTTTGGTTTTTTTTATGGTCTGGATTTTCCTTCAAATGGAGTCATTGAGCACAGACTGCTACAGAAATATCCTAGAGTATGGTAGTTAAGTCAGTCTCTTCAGATATGGGTTCAAATGGAATAGTTATTGGGTTACTTGATGGAAAAAGGTCACAGGAGTTGCTGACTCCTTTTTTGTTTGTTTTTTGAATGATGCCTAGTGTAGGCCTGTTGTTTCACTACTTTGTCTATGTCCAAGATGTCTGAAATGTAATCAGACCCAGTCTGACTATATTGGGGGCAGACAAATGTATATCTCTTTTACTCGAAATGAAATGTTTTCAGGGTTTTTTTTATTTCAGCGAGAAAACTGAAACGTTTTCATTTGGTTGAGTCTGAACTTAACTTCCCCTTCCTCCCTTTTAGTTTGGCCAAATAGAAAAATTATGCATAAAGTTCTAGTTAGTTGATTAGATTCTCATATGCATTTCTGACATGGACAATGGATACTCTGTGTTTAGGGTATAATAGGAGAAAGGATTGCAGCTTTTAGGCAGGTGCAAATGAAAAATATGTGCCCTTGGCCAGTGCTGTCAAGATATCAGAGCAGCTTGGTCAAACATGACTGATAAACATTGGAGGGATTCTCTAATAAAAGGAACAGATATTATTACTGCCACTTCCTCAGGCAGGAAGGGGGCTTCCTGCCAGTTTTGTTCTTATCTATATTGAGCACTGGCAGTTAGTTCTTCTTTTCAGCTTATATCTGGGCCAGGAATTAGAAAGCTGCTTAACTGTGCTGTTCCATTCTAGTAGAGTAGGTGCACAGAAAAGTTGTGAAGGCATGGCAGCCAACAATTTAGCTTGTTTTGTGTAAGGTTTTAGAGGATTTTTGCAAGATTGTTTTCATGCAACAGAAAATGTACCATTTAGCTGTTGCTTAAGTTACTTTAACAGTCAGTCTTAAGAATTTGCCTGCACTATGTAGCACGTTTGAGCCCCAGGAACAGCCATGATGCCCTTTGCTGGACTTGTGACTCCTGATATGATCCGGCTCCCTGGGTCCTCTTCCTTTTCCCTCACCTGCCATGCCTTGATGTAATGAGTTAATTGATGAAAAGAGTCCGCCCTTAGGTCCCAGATAAAGCCCTTGTCTGTCTTTTGGTCAGCAGGTCCCTCTTAGACTCTGCTAGTGCCAGTCCTGCCCCTCACATGCTAAGTCCTTCCACACTCCCAGGGCACTTATCACCTTAAGGGATATTCATGACTTCCAGCCACCTGCCATAGCCATGCTCATGCCTCCCAGATCTTATTGGTCAGTCACTCTCATTGGGTCTCCTTAGGCCTCTCCACCCATGTTGGGGCTTCAGCCTTTCCAGCCTCTGCCCCTCTAGCTGAGCATTTTAGTCTAGGCCCACTGCACCAGTCCTGGTTTCTGGGTTCCAGCACCCTGTCTTTCCACCTTGGGCACTGGGCCCCCTGACCCTGGTGTCTGCCCGCCTTGAGCACTAGGCCCCCTGGCCCTGCCTGGCTTTCATCTCTGGCTCCCTGTTGCAACTGTCAATCTTTGCTAACTTGTTGGGCAAATGCCATTTTTTTTAAAGATTAATGTCATATCATTGTCATGATTTGGGTCTGTCTGCATCTTTGTTTCCTATCTTAGGCATTTGAGTCCAGTCCTTCCAAGTTACAGGTCTCTTGGTTGATCCTTTCTTGGCTGAGAACCCTGCAATTTTCCCTGAATCTTGGAGCATGTTACCCTGTGTACCAGCTGACTTCTCAGCTGACCCCAAATGGGTTCAGGCCTGCTGATGTTCTGTTTTTGAGTTGTGACCACTGTGAGAATACATTAAGCTAGGGGTGTCAGATGGGGGCCAAACCAAGGATCTTTTGGCCGGTTGATGGGACAGATTGGAAGCACTCACTGAAGCCAGTGCACAAGACCAGTTCAGGTGTACCCAACACAGAGGGGTTGTTCAGGGCATGGGTGCCCTGTCAGACCTGCCCTGTGTACTAGTTCTGGAGCAGGTCCAGATGGGGCTCCAAACCATCCATGCAGGGCTGGTGTGGCAGGGTGCCATGTGCAATGTGTGCCCTGTGCCAGCCCCCCATGCTGTATTCAGAGTGGGGTTGGCATGTACTGCACACTGCATGTGAAGCTGGCCAGCCTGTGTACTGCATGTAGCACAGGAAACTGGCATGGGGGGAATCCTGCATGCAGCACTCTGCCAAGCAGGCCCTGTGTGATGGTAGTGGTGTGACTCCATCAGGTATGGCTCACATGCCAGGCCGGCTCCACGTACAGAGCACAGGGTTTGAGACCCATGGGTTGAATCCCCTCCAGGCTTTGTTTGACACTCTTGTAATAAACGGTACTTTACTTTTAAAAACAACTGCTTTATGTTATTGAATTATTTATGCTAAATTTATGAAGACTATATACTGTACAGTCAGTTGCACTTAATTCATATATTGGTTTTGTGATGGTTACTAAAAAGTTAAGAAAATTATAGGGAGTACACTTGGAAAATGTGTGGCTTTTAATTTTGAAGCAGTTATGTTTTGTACATTTAATTTCAAGTGTAGATTAGATGTGTTGCATTGTGCAGATATTTTCTCAGATAATGTACATCATGCACGAGATGCGCACACAGGCATTTATGAGAGTCCTTCACAGGTTCTGTTGCATATGTTTCTAGTCTCTGCTAATCTTTTCAAATGTTGGATATGGATCTCATTTCTGCAAAAATGAATTGGTTCCTACCAGATTTTCTGAAAAGTGGTGGTGAAAATGCACTTTATTTATTTATTAAATTAAAAATAAAAATTTACTCATGCATTCACTTAAAGAAGCGTTCACTTATTCACTTGAATTACACTTGCATTCATTATAATTTAAGGAAACTTTGTTGCCTTCAGTATTTGATCATGTAATAATGAAAATAATGTATGTGTAGTGCCTTTGAGTATTTGGTGTGGATCACAAAGAAGCCTATTTTGCTAGATGCACACAATAAAAACAAAATGTTAAGTTGCTAAAACTTTTTCAAAACAAAAAATCATGAGTCATTGATATTAATATATTATTGTATCATGCCAGAGCTCATTGTGGAATGGGTGAGTAGGTTGGGGCATAATCACAAAAAATTGCAGTGTCCTCTTGAATTCCCAGGTTTCAATGAGGAACACTTTCATTTACCCATAATGTTTCCTTTTTTCTTTTCCATTTTACTACTTTAAAAAAGCTTGTGTAAGTGGGGAGTAATGGGTGGAGAAGCAGGGCTAAAAAGCAACACTTTTTTTTTTTGTTCTCATACTTTCATAAAAATCTGAATCTAAGAATCTGAAAGCTTTGGATTTCTAAAAGTTCACTGTTCATATGAAAAAATATTATCTTAGAAAAACTTGAACTAGCTCGCATATCTAGTAGGGTGACTAAGAAACACATGCATGAGAGCCACTTCCAGGCTTATGGCCTGAAGAGCTGCAGTGATACTAGCCAGGCTAGTTTTAAAAACTGTTCTAGGTATTGGGTGGTAGGATTTCCTTGGATGAAAATCTTTGCTGGGAATAGGCCCACTAGCCAACAAGGTTGGGGAGAGGTTAATAGTCTTAAGCCCTTTAAAACTGAGATTCAAGGTTTCTGTAATGCACAATGCTTTAGTTCTGTACTAGATGTCAGGGACTGATGGACCAGACATTGCCAGCAGATGCATTATTTTATTATTGAGTTTCTTGCATCTGAAAGCTCCAAAGACCACTTAAAAGTTTAAGAATGCCTCATTTACAGATTGACAGCATATTTTGAACCTGCAGTTAAAGTTACCAGAGTTCACTTCAGACTGTGATGATGTCTGTCTGTCAAATGAGATACTTAAAACATGTATACAAACATTGTGTTCTTCTGTGCAGAATAGAGAAGGATTTTGAATTTGGGAAAATTTAAGTAGAAGACTTGTTTCAGTAATGTTTCTTTGCTTTTCTGTGTTACAGTGGATCAGATGTTTTGGGAAGTTATGCAGCTGAGAAAAGAGATGTCACTGGCAAAACTTGGATATTACAAGGAAGAGGTCTAACTCCCTACCGTCTGATGCATGCATGAACTTCAGTGAATACACATAACTCTAAATTGGCTCCCTTTTTTTGTCATTTGATATTTATTTCCAAGAAGTGGGTCCAAGATCTTTCTCCTTTTGCAAATTGCACTAAGAAGTTACTGTGATTTGTTTTAAACTGACCTATGCTGTGTATGCTTACGTAACATTTTAGTTGAACAAAATGTGGCAAGCACTTGCAGGTGTATTAGTGATTGTAATTTACAGTTGAAAACAAAACCTCTGATTAAATAAATGTTAGATTGAAAATAAATATATTTCTTTTTCTTCAGTAGAGTTTATAATACAGCATTGCCACAGAAAAAAGGACAAATACAATCACCTCAAACACTGTAATCTTTATTGTACTTACTAGAAAAGAATTGCTGATACATATAAAAAGAATAAGTAGATGTCAACTTTTACTAAAAAGTGAGAACAAATATCTATTTCAGTTGCAGTCGATTGTAGTATCTAAAATAGTGGGTTTTGAGGCACTCATCATTGGATTTTAGGCACCCCTCCTTAGCTTTTGTGAATTGAGTAGTGCAGTTTATAGATTATAGTGCTTGCTTCTTTGCAGAGAGGCCAGGCTAGGGGGGATGGGGTGTGGTCCAGGCAGAGACAAGCCTGGGCCTGTGCTTATCCACTTAGTTCATCTGCTTATCTCCTAACATCTCATGGCACCCTTCAGAAAATCTGGTGGCACCCCAGGGTGCCCCCAGCACCATGGTTTGAGAATTGCTGATCTAGAAAATCAACACACATGGAAATAACCAGAATGATTTGGGGTTCTCCTAACTTTAAAACAAAATTGCCCTCTCTGACAGCAAATCTACTGTACTGTACAGAAGTCTGCAAGAGAGATTTAGGTACTTTGCCTTTAATTTTTGGCATCTCTTGCTGTTCTCCATGAAGGCAGAGTGATACGGTTCACTACTTGAACACATTAGATATCAAACCTTTGTCTAACTTTGTCATAAGCACCTTCTGGTCATTCCATCTTTTTGTCTTCTCCCTTTATTCTTTATACTTACCTTTGTTCTCTCTTTAAATCTTCGTCCTTTATCTCTACTTTTTGGAGCATCCAAATAATAATGTCATGCGCATCTGTTTCCACCAACTGTCCCTGCACATGTGAATCATTTAAGCACTTATTGGATAGTACCTTATGATATGGTTATTGCTGGCAGTTCCTCTATCTGTAAAACTGATGAAAAGAATCGTATCTCCTTAAGAAAAATGCCTCTAGGCTGAAGTACCACTTGGCTTGCTCCTGCCATTCTCCCCAAGGTTTCTCTAGTTTGGTGGCAGACAATTGATTGGGATAAATGGAATGTTGCCAGTGATGAGTAGCAGATTTATCGTGCACTAAGCACTTCGGGGAAAGCATGGCTTGTTTTTGATTATGACAGCAATTTGCCATTTGCAAATATCATAAGATTATTGCTAAATAAACCAATGAACAATTAAAGATGAGCTTACATTTTATATTTTAAAAATCAAGCGTTTGGCAATTAGGGTATTTTTATTATGAATGATTCTAAAGGAGACTGGTTAAGTGGGTTAAGCACTAAATGTATACTTGAGAGAGTACTCGCTTCTGCAGAGATGTAAATGGAAAAAGATGCAAGATTTAACATAAAATAAATTATTTAAACATAAATAAACATAAGTGTGTCATACATATGATTCAGGGAAGGCAAGAGTTTTTGGTGTAATCATTCCAACAAAGTTTCATTCTTTTTTTTAGTCTGATATCCATTGCTAGCAATGTATGCACTGAAACTTTTCTTGAGGAAAATTTTTCGTGTCCTTCCTACTGGTCCATTCATTTCCACTATAGAAATCTATGTGAATTCTAACATGTCAAGATGTTATTAATATTCTGTTGCCTGCCATATAGCTTACAAGTCTGTTTTACTCTGGTGTTCTTTTCATCAAGTGTTGCTGTGTTTTTCTGAGGTTACCTTTCTGTGCTATAGACAGAAGTGCTTCTTTAAGCACCTGAAGTTATCCCTATTTCTTATTTGGAGCAGTGGAAAGAATACTTGTTTGTTAAAAATCAAACTCTTTTTATTGTGTAATTCAATACCTAGTAACTAATAATGATTTAATAACTTACTTTTAGAAAAGCTCACTCCAGTATAAAGGTAAAACTGTTAAGGCCAAAAGTCCTTGTTTATCATAGATGTTTTCTTTTGCAACAAGGGACTGCAAAGATGTATTTAGTAATTTCTAATTTCTGTGAAAAAGTGACTGTGGCCATTAGGTCAGTTTGAATAGTGATGCATTAAAATGAACCTGATGTCCTTTTTTCTCCTATTAAATCCATCTTACTCCTTTTCTACACACTGTTATATTGTAGTTAAGATGTAACATTCACTATTAAAATTTTATTGTCTAGTCTTTATGGTTAAGAGACGGTCTGTCATGAGACTAATGCATCAGACTAGGGACATGTAACTAATGGCATCTAACTACAATTATACAGTAGTTGTCTTTGTGGTTTCTAACTGGCCTCCTCCTAGGTTTCTTGAATTTGTACTCAAACCTTTGTCCGACATCAAATGCCTCTTTGAGGTGCCTACTATCTTAGTCTGGGGAATGGCCAGACAACTTGGAAGATGCATAGTGGTTTTCTATGTAGGCCACCTTTTCTCATCTGTTTGGTCTTGAAGTCAGTGCAGTTGGCTTGGCAGATCTTGGATCAGTCCCAAGCTGTCACAAGTTTTCTGTTTGACCAACCTTGGGCAAATTGCATAATCAGTGCCTTCACTTCAGGACTGTAAAATGAGGATGTTACTTCCTTAATTCACAGGTATGCTATAAGATTATATGCATGTTTGTGAAGTGCTCAGTTATTGTGCTTCTATAGCAATAGTTAATGTACTATACTTAAATCAGGTGGGGTTTTTTGCTGTTGCTGCTTTATCGTTCATATCTCTGTTCATATATACTTGCTTACACAAATATGCTAGTTTGAAAGGACAGATAAAAGACAAGTTATTTTTATTCCTTCAAGTGTGCGCATGTGTAACTATGGCCATTACTGGGGGCAAAGGTCCGTAAAACAAGGAAGAAAATAGACATGTAGCGTATGTAGTTTTCCTCACACAAAGTGAGATAAATATACCTTCTACAATTTTCTTCCTGAGATCTTGTCAGATTCTCCTCTACGTGAAGCAGGAGCTTTAAAAAAATTCTACAGATAGTTTTGAAATTAATTAAATTATTTTGAATCAAGGCAAATGATCAGCTAAGGATCTAATTCTCTTGGCAAAATAATTCCATGATTGAACCTATTTGCAAAATTACACCGTTGAACCTATTCATAATTATCCGGAAAAGAAAGGACGGTACCACTGTTTCATGGAATAACTTTAAACCTGCCAAGAAAAATATAGCTTCGCTCGCTGTTCATGGATGTGGTGGATGAAAATGAGGCTCTGCAGCAATTCTTTGAAGGTAAGAGTTCACCTTCTCAAGCAGTTCAACAGCTTCTGAAAGAAAAACTATTTCAGAAGGAATTATGAGCATCATATTCAAGGTATGGGATCAGGGTTTTTTAATTTGAAATTTCAGTTTGAGGAAAAGAAACCCAAGGAAATCAGAAATGAAATGCTGTCCAACATGTAGAAATACTAAATTAGGTACTAGAGTAAATTAGGATCAATGGCACGCATGCAGGAATGCTTCCTTTATGCTCTCTATATACCACAGAGAGGAGTAAAGGCAACCATGATGCCACAGTTCTGTGTGATGGTAGCAAATAGCAGGGGGAGGAAGTCAAGAGACCTTCAGAATGCAAACAGACCGCTGAGTCTTCAGGGATTTGCATAATTTATGGGACTAGGGAGACACTTCATTTAGTGGGAGAGAAACCTTGCCTGACAAGATTCTTCTGAAATGGAGTGTCATTTGTTTCTTGGTACCTTCTTTAGCTGGTTCTTCTGGGCTTTTCTGCGGGTATAATCTTAACTACTTTTGTCTATTTTTTTTCCCCGAGTAGAAGTCTTTCATTCGGAGCTTCTTGCCAGGTGTCGCAATGATTTTATCAACGAGATCCTACTAGTCTCTTTTTCCTCCCTTCTTTGTGTCAGCAGTATGTCTATCCTTTTGTTTCTGTAAGGGGGGGGGGAGCCTAATTCTTTGGCTTCCTGACACTGCAAACAACCTGGAAGTTTCAAAATTATCTATTCAAATTCAGATCCAAGGCAAAGAAAATGCAACTTTTTTTTCTTTGCTTATATTATTTGTGTTGCTAATATTCCTAGTTGTGTTGATCCTTTTAAATTTGAATTGATTGGTGTATTTGTTCTGTCATTAAATATAAGTGTCCTTGACATAAGGCAACCTGAAAGTGATGAGAGAAGCTGCACCTCAGCTTTATAACCTAAAGGTATTCTCTACATCTGGAAACTTGTGTAATCCTAAGGATGCTTCTTTACCATCAAAGGACCAGTTGGGAGCGTCACAGTGAAGTGCACACATCCCGAACAAAATGGATGGCATGCCATCACCTTCATGACATGCACCAATAAGCTTGCCCAAGAAAGCTTATTGAAATATCCAGAGTAGTTTCAAGGCATGTATGGGATGGGTATCCCCTGTTTTGCTGTGAGCATTCCCTACTATGATCTGGAACTGGTAAAACTATGCTTTAAGTGTTCCTTTTCATATAAGCTAAAAAACCTCATATTATTAATGTAGGAAAAACAAAGGGTTCTGAAAAGCTAAAGAATTTTCTTGATTTTGCTTTCAGGAAGGTAACATTTCAATTAAGCAAGCTAGTAAGTTTTTAACAGTGAACTGTGGTACTGGATAACTATTAAATATTTGATATCTAAATAAGTCTGATAAACTATACCTAACAACCCTGTTAGAATAACTTTCATAATGAGGGTTTAGGGGAACTTTGAAGCATGTCCCAGTGACTCTGGTGGCAATGATAATTCAGTAGTACACTTTGACTCTGGAAGAGTTCCAGCAACTCTGTTGCTCACATCTCCTTAACTATAATAATCGCTAGTTGTAAAATGTAATCCATGTAGCTGACTGGATGTACAGCAACTGCTGAGACAAAGGAATGAAAACTCTATTAAAAGTAATGTCAAATAATGAGAGCATCCTGGAAGATAATATTGTATAAAGCAGTGGTTCTCAAACTTTTTAGATTCAAGGCACCCTGATAGACCAGGTATTCCTCAGAAAATGCCAGCTCTTAAGTTTAACTTGTTTTTTTTTTAACAGTAGGAAAACAACAGAGCAATTCTGTTGCAGAAAACCTGGAAAGAGCAAAGCAGGGCAGAAGGCTTTTTAACACTATGGATTCCTATTTGCAATCCCTGGCTGCATCCATGTGCATGGAAGTTTGGTTCCCCAGGGACAACTAGTGGCTGTGCGCCTTGTGCCACCACTACTTGTTCTTGGGGAACGCTTGTGTTATGCACCTTCTGGCCTGTGGCAAGTTACCCTGAGTGGGGTAGGGGAGGCTGGCGCCAAGCAATGTGATGGCCCCAGCAGCCTTTCCTGGGGGCCTCCTGATTGCAGAGCCTGGCCAGCAGCAGTGTGTGGCTCTGGCCAGCCAGGCTCCAGTTTTGAGTGGCATGCGCTACCCCTGCATATGTCACTCTGTTCTTTTTTTCCTTTTTCCAGGCTTTTTTTGATCCCTGGATATCCAGGGGTCAAAAAACCCCAAGCAAACAACCGAGCGCTGCTCCCTTGCAGAGAACAACTGAATGTGCGGTGTGTGGTGCTGATGATGTTTCTGCAGCACCACATACTGCACAGCTGTGCTAGTCTGGACATGGGCCCTGCGTTTATCATGTAAAAATGTTTGCACACCTGACAGTGCTAAAATTGTGCGGCACCCGATGGGCCCCTTAAAAGGATCTCCATGGCACCCCGCTTGAGGAATCACTGGTATAAAAAACATTGTCTCTTAATGCACAAAAGAATGAATACAGCATGCCTTTCTAATACAAGTATAATATAAAGAAATGGTGGTCACTTACTGTGAGTCAGCATCATAAAAGGTTGCTAAGCCACACCTATGACAGAAATTAGTATCTAGAGTCCTGTAACTAATGTTAAATCCAAAAGTAAACTTCTAAAAGGAGTTGGTATATTTAAAGAACAGTGCAGGGTTTTGTATGATCTTGGGGAAGTTATCTTCAGCAAATGTGAAGTCAACTATGAGCTGATCATAAGCATTCAGGTTTGTGGCTTTAAAATAAGGTGAAAATCTTGAGACACCAAACACCTGTTACATTTGAAGTTGGCAGTCTTTCACTGCTTTTTATGCCACCAGCCTTCAATGCTGATTTATTTGATCTCTGAAGGTACAGCAACACTGGAATGCTGGCTTTCAAGACTACTAAGCATCATGCATTCAAAAGAAGATGCAAATACTGCCTCTAACTAAACTCTGGTTAGCCTGTGGTTTGATGTCAATTTTGGGATGGACTGGCAACTGAACATACTTTTGAATGTGTGGTTATTTGCAATTCATGAGCACAGAGAGAACATCCTATGATGTTTAGACTGCCTTCTGTTTCTTACGGTATTTGTATTTACATGCATTACTACAGAAGCTAGAGTCCTCAGTCTTGCAAGGTGACATTTTTAGGGATGGCTAAAAACAAAAATTCTGTTTAATCTTTTTTTTTTTTTTTTTTTTTAAGTCCTAAACTCTTAAAAGCCTCAAATAAGTGGCCAGCCTGATAGGGAAGAGGGCTTATTACCAAGGCTTAAAAACTGATTTAAAGAAGTGCTTTTCTGGGTTCATCTCATCTGTCCTGGACTGACTATTCAGGAAGAACTATAGTTCAAAGCCAAAGAGCAAAGATTTGGAGATTAACCTAGTTTTTTGGTTTTCTTTTTAACTCAATTATCTGGCTCAGCTTCAAAAGATTGCTAAATAAAGCTAGAAAGTATATATGAAAAGCAAGCTGGGTTTTTGGTTGTAGCCATGTTGGTCTAAGGACATAAGCAGGCAAGGTTTTTTTGAGTAGATGTGATATCTTTTATTAGAGCAACTGAGAAGTTGTAGAAAAGTTCTTGGCAAGCTTTCAGATGCAATTACCCTTCTTCAGGCATTGGGACTCCCTATGCCTGAAGACGGGTGATTGCACATGAAAGCTTGCCAAGAACTTTTCTACAACTTCTCACTTGATCTAATAATAAAAAAAAAAATCACATCTACTCAAAAAACCTTGCGTGCCTATGAGAGAAGCAAGGATTTTTTTTGGGTGGTCATCTTTTATTGGAACAACTGCATGGTTGGGATAGACAAGCTTTCCAACACAAGGCATTCTTCAGGTCACAAGCTTGCATTCAGAGGCTTGTCTAACTTTATCACAACCATGTAGTTGATGACATAAAAAAAATCACCCAAAAAAATCCATGCCTTTTGCATAATTCTTGGACTGTCATGGTTACAACATCAATTTGATGTACCTGATAGTATTAATTAGGATCTAACCTGATATGCTTATTTTTATCCCTTCTGTAAAGTATTCCGTGTCCTAAACCTGCTCTAACTAGTATACAGACACTAAATGAACTCTAAGCAACCTTCAGCTGACTTTTCACTGACCTGTCTTTAAGGTGTAAAACTTCTTGCCTCCAGCAGTCTTACCTGCTCATTTCTTTTGTCTCCTGTGATCAATTGAATGCAAGCAAATGCTTTAGTATATCACCATTAAACAGCTTCGGGCCTACTATAGTTGACATAACATAAATATGACATTCATTATTCTGGCTTACTGGCTGGCAAACGGTTATTCTCTGTGTAGGTTAGGAATGGGATCTGTATTTCTAAATATCTGTGCCTCTTGTATCTCTTCTAATAATCTCACCTGAGGGGACAGTTTCTTCATCACTATTCTGTTAAAAGGAAGCTTCCATTACTTTGGTATTCAATAGAAAATCCATGGGTCCAAACCCATCACAAGAGTTGTTATTTCTGTCACTTCCCACCAGAATATTTGGACCACTTGCTGTAACTATCACGCTTGGAAAAGGAAATAACTTCCTCCGCAGCCTCTCCAGTCTGATGCATCACCAGCTCAATTTCTCCAGCACAATTACTTTGCCTACGTCTCCTTTCCAAGACCTAACTAATTTAGTTTTCCTATTCATTGCTTGCTCTATTAAAATTGCATATATTTTAGAGATTGACCCTTTTAATCTTGAATCTATGTATATAAATTGCTCAAAAGAGGTAAACAAGAGCTGCTTTACACTTATCATTTATTATAAAATTTCCAATTCGGCTTTTTTTGGATGATGTGGCCGATAAATGTCCTGTGCACGTGTGCAGCCGCAATGCAGCATGCAGGTGGTCAGGAGCACAGCCTGGCACTGTGGAGAGCAGTCAGATCCAGCTGGTAAGTCTGTTTTGAGGGAAGGAGTGTGTGTGGGGGGCAGGGGAGGGAGCAGATCAAGGCCCTCATGGTAAGGGAGGGAATGGGGCTGGGTTAGGGGCAGATGCTGCACAGCTGGGGCAGAGGCCAGGATGGAGCCGTGAGTGGCTTGTCTGGGGGGTGGCTCCCACTGCTGCATGCACCCCAAGGGCATAGGAGGCAAACACTGGAATAAAAAGAGAAGTTTTGGGAGTGTGTTCATTTTAATGGTAGCTATTCTGCCCATCCCAGAAACCTTCATTCTTATCCGTTCTTTGAAAGATTTTGTTATTTTAGACTGGTGGTGCTCAACCTTCTGGCCCCGTGATCCAGATGAGTGGTGTGGGGCCAGTCCATGGTGCAATCTAGTATGCTGGCCTAGCCACACATGCTGTCCAAACACCACATGCGGTCCAACCCTGTGCACCAGATCTCACCATACAATGGTGCCCACCAGCGTGTAGGGCTATGTCATCTGATCCCAATGGGCCTGGAAATGAGAGCTGCAATCTATGCTGCTGCATCTCCCCCACCATCAGATTTTCATATCTGCAGGGAGATGCAAGGACCAGATGACATGGTCTTGTAGGCTGGAGGTTGAACACCTTCGGTTTAGACCAGACTTCTAAAGAATCAGAAATCCTCATTTTTTTTGGTAAGGTTAATACTTACATATTTCATTGCATTTTTAATCCACTTAAATTTATGAAGTTTTTCACATTCCTGCTTAAGTTTCTGACCGATGCCAGCATTTAACATTTCTAACTTATTACAATTTTATATCCATAGAGTGAGATGCAGCTATCTGGAATACTATTGTTTTTAAGGGGCAAAGAGGATACTTTACAAAAAGCAGCACATCCTCTACATAGAGAGCTATCTTATTTGCCACTGGTCCTTCCTTTATCTGAGAATCCTGCATTATTGTAGTAGCTGGTTCTGTGGCTAGAGTGAACAGCGGTGGTGACAGTGGGCACCCTTGCCTAGTTCTACTTGTCAGTTTAAATGTTTACCCAGTCCAAGTTCTCTTTCATTTGGCTCCCTAAATGATCCTTATTGTTTTACCTATTACGTCTTGCCCAAAATGTGGAGATTCATCCTACCACTCAAATAAAGAAGGTTGTTTAATCCTTCCCTATCTGAGTATTGAACTCCTTTCTGGAAGGTTTCTGACTCCCACATCAGGGCATGACACCATGTAATCATTTATGGTGTTCCCTCTTCATTTTTTTCTTTTAATCTTTTTCTTGAATCTTTTTTCTTTTAATCCTAGTATAATTCAATCTTGCTCAAGTTCTCTTTAATACCCCTGGTTTTGTGATTTCTCCCAGTCTTTTTTTTTTTTTTTCCTTGTACTTTTTGGCATCTTCCTCTTCTGTGGTTTAACAGTTTGACAATCGCTAGTATAGTGCTACTTCTCACTGTCTGCCTTACTTAAGCTAAGTTTCCAGGGTGCTTTTGATTAATCTCACTTTCTCAGCGAGTTTAAGGCCTTCCTTTTCTTTATACTATACTGCTGTTCTTGATGTGGGGAGAAGTTTAAAAAGAAAAATCCATATTATATTTGTTGTTCTGAGAAGTGCTGTAATCTCACATAGTTCTGTCACTTTCCTTAATGCAGCCTGACAGGTCTTGAACCACTTGTACTTATGGACATGAGTTCAACTGCAGTGCTAAGAATTTCAGGAGAATTTTCCATGCCATGGAAATGTGGTGAGAAATTGGGCGTACAGGCCTTCCAGCTCCCTGGTTGGAGAGTTGCAAACTGGCTTCAAAGCCACACTCTCCAGCCAGGGAGCGCTAGTGGGCTGCTCCTTGCATCTCTCCCACCCCCAGGACAACCCAATCACTGACTGCGTTTCCTCTCCCTTGCTGGGGAAGTGGGGAAAGCTGTAAATGATCAGCTGAGAGCTGATGAAATAAATGCAGCAGCTGCCAAAGACAGCCAGCCCTCCTTCTGTGCTGCCTCTTCCTCCCCCCCACACACACCTGCAGGGGTGGTAAGGGACCAAGATAAGTAACTGTTCTCCTTACCCCTGTCATCCCCAATAGCGTTACTGTTACAGCCCCAGCTCTTGCAGTGGTGGTGATGATTGCAGTTAGAGCTAACGCTTTGTGGTAGAATTGCTATGGTTTTTCTGCCACAAATTGCTTGAATGCCTGTATGCTCACTTTTTTGTGCCAGGAAATGGTTGTGTTTCCTGAAAGTAAGGCAATGCCTGTCCACAACCTTATATTCTCCCAGAGTTTCTGGGTTTGTTTGAGCTGGCAGGGGAGAGGAGAACGTGAAGAACTGTGTGTGCTCTGTCTATAAGGACTGTCGCCTTTCTTTGTAAGGAAAGAGTGGAGAACCTGTTTTATATATTCTCCCATCTCCACAGCTTTTAAAGGAGCCCTCTTTTTTCATGCTGTTTTTGTCTCATGATTCTTTGTCCTGAGTTTTCTCTACGAGCCATTTTTTTTCTTTTCTTTTTTAAATCATGATTTTATTTTGCCGATTTACTGCTGAATGCTAGTTTTCCTCCACCTTTATCTCCCCATATTCATTTTATTTCTGCTTTAACCTCGTCAAATATGGCCTCCATAGATAATCTTAAAGATATGATCTCTGACAGTAACTCAGCAAGGAGCTCTTTGGTCAGAGGGACGGGGTTTTTTTTGTCTTTCTCCTTCTTGATCTGATTTGTTTTGCCTGACAGCAGACATCTTTGATACTGCAGCCCCTGTGAGCTGTTGAGTGAGGATCTTCCAGGGAGTTTCTTCTGGGGAAGTAGCTTTTCAAATTGATCCCTTTGTGGGGTACACACCTATGGACAAGGGAAGCACTTCTTGGAAGTGAAGCGGTTCAGAGATCAGTGCTGTTGGTGGATTGTGCCATCTTCCCCTTCAGAGCTTGAGCTTCAGGGAGCCACCTGCTCTGGTGATGTTATTCTCTCTCATGCCTGAGAAACCTCCCTGATGAAAGTTTCAATAGAAGCTTCTGCCAAAAAGGTTTTAGTTTTTGACAAATTGTAATCTTCAAAGGAAAAAATCAGCAATGACCCCTGACCGTTATGTTCCTTTTAAATGGGCAAACTCCATCTGTGCACGGTGTGGTTTCAAAACATTGTTTTGCTCTTCCTGTTCATTTATATTTAAATTTCTGAGGATTCCTATTGAGTTTTGCTTTCTAAATTTCAACGAGAAATAAATGAGGAGCTGGAGACGGCACCTCCTCAAGCTGTTACCTGTTGTGCAGAGGTCAGGTTTTGATAGTGTATCTGGAGGCAAGGCCCTGGCTGTCAAGAAGAGGCCTGCAATTTGAATTTTAAAGTTATTTAACTTAGAGCAAATGGAGAGAACTTTTTGTTTCAGTAATGGGTGAGTGATTCCCTAACCTCACGTTTCCTAAAGTCTTTTTAGGTCTTGCACTGCAGACCTAAGCACTGACATGCACATAGAAGAGATTTGCTGACAGGCTCAGATCTAGATGTTGCTTACAGTTAACAGATGTCTAAAGTTACTAGTGGTGAATCCTCCTGGAATGAGGAGCCTGGGCAGTAGAGAGCCAAAGGTAAGCTATTGGTGCACCCCTTTATGGCGTATCTATTCCACTGCCTGTAGTAGGCATTGCTGCCATGAAAAGCAGCTGGCTCCACTTGCTTCTGTTTTATGTGTATCATATAGCGGAGAGAGGGGATGTAACATCTGCCTTGTGTGTGCCCAGAGCTTCTGTAATGGCTACAAGATATTTTTTCAGCATGTGGCACACGGAGAGTGGGTGGTGGAGGTGTTTTTACTTATTTAGAGCAGGGGTGTCAAACTCATCCATCCCTGCAAGCTGGATAAATGGTGTGGGCCAGTCCATGAACAGATCAGGCCTGCAGACCAGCCCTGCCTGCCAGATCTAGGCTGTGGGGCTGGCACGGGTGCTGCATACAGTGTGTATCCTAGCCCAGTCCTGCCTGGGTGTCCTTTGCAGTGTGTGGGTCCACTCTAAGACTCAGGGCAGCATTGCAGGCTGGGTTATGGTTCCCCAGGCCACATCTGGCCTGTGGCCCATATCTTTGATGCCCCTGATTTAGAGTGTATTTATTACAAAATTAGAGAGAAAATATTTGTGTGTGTTTTGTCTTTCAGGGTAGTTCCACCTGACTCTCTCTTTTTTCAAAGTTCTCATTAATCCTATAGACTTTATAATCATAAAATCTTTTTATAGTCTTCAGTTACTAAGCAACAAAGGACAAAGTACTGAACCTTCCTACTGATGACTAAATCTG